CCCCAAAACCCCAAAACCCCAAAACCCCAAAACCCCGTCAAGAAAGAATATGTCAAATTTCTAAAATTATTGATTAATTATCTATGATTATATTACATCGGCAAATTAATAATAAATATAAAGTTAAATCTCGAATGGGTAGATATATTTTTCCTTAAAGGAATTTATATAATCTCTTGTAATCACATCAGACTATCAAAAGTATGATGCTATTAACAGGCATATTATTGATAACCATGATACCATTATAAACAGTCGCACAAACTTCATTGAAGAACATTATGAAGCTAGAATTGAATAAAATATCAGATACATATGAAGTACTAGAGCAGGAAAAGTTTAAGTACTATAGTGTCTATGTTGATCCAAAATTATTTGACAGCACTCAGTATCTAGTGGTCAAAGTTAAACCTGTACAAGACATCTTCGCTGACCCTGACCTCTTTATTTCCAAGGTAATAATATCTTGAATTAGTACAAATCATATAGAAAAATAAGAATCCTAATACATACGAGGACAGTGAATGGGTGTGTTCAACATTTGGCTAGGATACCTGCGCCATAAGCCCTGATAGTTTATAAGCCTAGGATTTGATTTACATAGGTGTTCGATGTACACAGGGCTGCATTTTTTCTATATATCCCTAATTGATGAAGCCCATTACTCTTGAGGAAGGACTAGAAAAGTAGATAGACTTTTAAATTTGGGAGACTAAAATCTTTAAGTTCAAAGTTCCAAAGAGCACTAGCAAAGACTCAGAATACAAATTAAATTAAGTAGATATAAGAGCCGCACCTTTAGTTGAAAAACATGATAAAATTGTACTACTAGCCAGTATAAAATCAGATGTGACACCAAATGCCTAAACAAAAAGAGGTATTCCTGCTTGGAGAAAAGGTTAGACCTTGAGATTATCTGATATTCATAAAGACGAATGGTGTACTGATTGCTATATCACTATATTAGTTGATGTTAATGACCCCGGCGCTTATCAAATAATGGCTAAGACTAATACAGGCCTTTTGACTCTTTAAACTGACAAGAGATTAGACGATTTGGTATTTTACTCAGAAAAGTAGTGCTATAAGTACTATGTTTAATAAGCAAAAAGTGATGTATTCATTAGAGTTGCTTAATACTCTGGTTTGATAAGCTACACTTTCAACCCTAAATAAATGCTTGAATCCAAATAAAAAGCCCCATTTTAGCATAATAGCACAAACAAGAACTCAATAATGGTTGTTACTCCAAACGACAGAAAGCAATCTGGAGCTATATAAGGCCTTTACTATCTGTGCTTCTTTGGTCATATGACTTCAACATATTCAATTGTAATTTCAGAGCTCGAACATGGTGCTGATTATTAGCAACTTCTTGATGGCCACGATTAAAATGGTGAAGTGGAATCTCTAAATAGATAGGTATATATTTACAAAGCTCCAAATCTCACATTTTCATCTTAAGATATTCGTATTTAGTTCATCTTATCGTCAATAAGTGGAATTTAACCTTAATTATTTGCAGGTTTTTGCTCAGAAAAAGATATTCTTAAGTGTGTTAAAGCAGCCAAAAGCTTTGATCAGTAAAATTATGATGAGACATCGAGATTTAAAAAAGCAAGTTAAATGACTAAGGATCTTAATCTCATTATTGATCATGATGAAGAAAAATGTGAAAAAGAGTATAAAAGAGAGTGCTTCTATGCAGTGATTGTATAAGGATAAGGAGGAGAAGGAGAAATTTCCAAGTATTCTATAAATATTCTCAATAGCTAGTAAAACTACTAAGTACTTTAAGAGGGTAAGTTGGTTAATGACTATGTTGAGGAAGGTTAAACCAGATTGTACTCTTTTAGCATCATAAATGATCCCCTGGTAAAAAACGTGACTTTCAAGCTTAATACCATTCATGGTGATGCAGATATATATGCTTCAAGAATTCATAAGTACCCATAAAAGCTTTTATATGAAAAGAGTTCAGTAAGGACTAATGACATTATGGATGAAGTATACTTTGACGATCTAAATCTATCAACTACTTTTTACGTAGCAGTTTTTTCTATTCAATACTCAACCTACACTTTATCTGTGTCTGTAGATAGAAAGGGGATATTTAAAAAATTACCTGTTCAACTATAAGAGGGTTTATCTCTGAAGGGCTCACTACATAATGAGGACAACTATGATTTATATGAAATTCATGCTAATTAAATTCAAGGATTCGAAAAATCCTTAATCATTTAGAATACTCCTGTTAAAGGAAAAGTTAAGTTTTACCTAGGAGACAGTACCGATGTATCCTTCAAGAATTATCTATTAGAATCCAGAAATAACATGATTTACTTTAACAAGTCTCATGAATAATTCAGTCATTCTGGTGTATATTATATCGCTGTGTACCCAGAGTATACCATCTGGCAGCGCTTTTATGACAATTATTATGACTATTTGATTACATATGCAACTTTAGACACACATATTTACCTATACACAGACATTGCTATGGAAAATACTCAAGAGCCGAATACCACTACATATTTTAAGCACTTCTAAACTGATAACTTCTTTGATATTTTAGTATCAATGACAATTTTTAGTGGAGATCCCAAGCTCTACATATCATCTTCTCCTTAAATAAAATATCCTAGCAGGCTTAATCATGATCTAGACTATCAAAATATTTTTGCAGGGACCAAATTCAAGGGCAAGTCACTGCAAATAAAATCATAAGTTATGCAAAAGAAAAATCCTGCATGCTCCATCAGCTATTTTGAATAAAAAGAGCAGTAAAGAGATGCCTGTGTACTGTATCTAGGAGTCGAATGTCAGGACTATTGCAAATATTCCATTAAAGTCAGTTATGAGCAAAATACCTTGTCAATGCTAAGAGTTGGAATCCCTGAACATGGAGCACTTAGAGATGATTTATTCAAGTATTACTACATAATAGTGAGAGAATATAGATTTAGTGAGGTATTTGCTATTCTCAATAGTTTTGCTGGTAATGCAGATCTCTATGCTTTGAAATAAATTAATCCACATAAAACAAACCCAGAAAGTTGGTTGATGCCCTCTCAGTATAAGTATGATTTCAAATCAACTGATCTTTTGAAGCAAGACACTATCAGAATCAAACCTTCTGATCTTGAGGACTGTTTTGAAAAATGTGATATAGACTCCTCAGATCTTAGATAATGTGGAATTATATTTGGTATCCATGCTAAAATGAGTCATGACTAAATCCCAGAATTCAATTCAACCGAGGCTGAAAATGACTATAGTTAGAATTTATACAACACAAAATACAATTTTATTGCATATACAGATGTAGCACTGCTATTAAATTAGCAACCAGTCACTAATACAGTGGAAGAAGGTGATTATCATTACTATTTATATGAGATCACTTGCGATGATTGCGGAGTAATTATTAGTTTGAATACTTTCGGAAGTGGTGATCCAGATTTGTATGTTGGCTACGGAGACAACAAGATTCCCTAGAAAGATGATTATGACTTTATGAGCTCAACTACAAAATCTGAGCTTCTAACACTAGATCTCAATCATGAATTTTACAAAAGTTATAAGCTTAAATCAATGAAGAATAGTTATATAATTGCAGTATATGGAGTTAAAAAGAGTCTTTATACTTTAAGTGTAAGCTAGGAAGCAAGACCGATAGGATTATTGACTGAAGGTATTTCAATAAAGCATTCATAAGATCCCTACTAGATTTCATACTTTATGTTTTACGTGAGTAAAGAAGAAAAAGACTATAAGATTAATGTGAATGTTGCATCAGGTTTAGTCGATCTGTATGTCTCCAGATTCTAAGAGGAAGATGATGTAAGTGATTAGCAGAAGACCTTGATTTAAAGTTTACCGAAGTCGAAAAGGGAATCTAGTTGGGTCCTCGAAAATATAAGTTAAAGAACTGGAGTAGGTGAAAAAGCACTTTTAATAGTTAACTAAGATAGAAACTATTGCACAAAATGTTATCTGTTGATTGGTATTGTGACTCATGATGAAAAATCTGAATATAATATCCTTGTTCATCCTTTAATTGCAAGTTTCGAAAATTCAATGCTAATGAAACTAGGAGAAGTAGTCTAATTCAATATTGAGACAGATGAGGTCAAATACTTTAGATTCATCATTGATGATAGGTAGAACTTCCAAATTATATAGAAACTGAATTCAGGAACAGTAGAAACTACATTGAGTTTTTCAGAGAGCACTGAAAGTCCGTTAGCAGTGATTGCCAGTACTAATATCCTTACTATAAAGACAGATGAAGTTGACAAATTTGAGACTGAGAAAATGTATTATCTGATAGTTAAGGGCTTATCTTACAGTGAATGCAGTTTAATGATAGTGCAAGACAGACAATTAATATCATTGTCCGATGGAGTATCAATGACTTTAAACTACTATGATTATATGGATGTAAGCAAGTACATGATATACAATTTGCCTGATGGAGATTTCACACTTAATATTCAAGTCAAAACTCTCTCACAGAAGTTCTACCCAAGATTATACATATCAAGTTTTGAAAATCTAGAAGATTAGCTAAGTGGCTTGGAGTTCCCACCTGCTGGAGTGGCTGACTACGTTTCTGCTAAAAACTGGGACACCAAACTTGGCATCTTAAGTTTTCAATAATCTTTTAAGAATGTAACAGGTGGAAAAGCTGGTTTGGCAATTAACCTTTTTGACAATTCGTTAGTCAGAAAAAGCTAATTTAACTCTCAAGCCTTAATAACTGTATCAACATCAAAGCTGATTAAATTGGAGTAAGATACTACAATAATGGGGTCTATTACTAGCGAAATAGGATATATGCTTTATCAAGTGCCTGAAACAATTACAAGCAAAGAGGGATATGCAGTTATTGAGTTTTCGGAATGCGTTGGAGATTCATAACTTATGTTTATAGAGAGTCCTGAAAATTTAGTCAGACCAAAAAATCTAGAGTATAGTTCTTTTTCACAATTCGGTAGGTAATACAATTTGATTAAGGTTCCTTAAGGGGGCATTACAGTTCTTGTTAAACCAAAAAGGTTTGAAAGCGATAATGAAGCAGCTACCAAAGCTTTTGAAAAGATAGATTTTATTATTAAAACTAGATTAACATTTTCTTCATTCTCCAAAAATGATGAATTTAAGCTTTAGGATGGTGGTAAAATAGACATTGTTTATCATGATAGCCCTGGAGAGCTCAACATTACTTGGGGATAAATCTAAAGAGTTACCAACTTTGGTTATATTGATGGTAGCTTAAATGATGTTAGCTATCAGGTTTTAGTGACAAAGAATCCCAAAGCAAAACTTGAATCGATATGTGCTTTAAAAAAAGACATTGCCAGAGATTTTATTATATCCAGCGACTAGACCACAATAAATACATATTACTTTAAAAATGCCAAACCAGGCGAGATTTATTATGTAAATGTGATTGCAGCAGTGAGGAGGGGAGACAAGGAAGTGTTTGAATATCTACCATATAAGAGCATTGAACTTAGGGTACCTGTTTATACTATTTGGTCTACCTGGGCTCTGTGTAAGATATATTCAGGTTTTATAGATTTTTAGATTTCTATGTGATTATTGTCTTAGCTTTTGTCGGTGTAGTGACATTTTACTATAGGAGAACTAAAACGATCCAGACATAATTGGAATTCGAATTGGCTGATGTGAGGAGTATGGCGAGTGTAACAAATTATCAGAGAGTTTAACAAAGAATTGAAGTGGAGAAGTAGCAAAGATATAGTAAATTAATGCAGAATTCATCTGATAACATATGATCAGCCTAAAAATTAGGTTTAATTGGCTATTTAAAATTGAGAATTTTATTAAATTTTATTTCATAAATTTTCATATTTCCTTAAATATGGGGTTTTGGGGTTTTGGGG